CTACAGTTAATACATAGATGAGAGACGAAAAAAAACACTCGAAGATGCATCTGTCTCCGAGTGTCATCAAACAATCAATGCGGCCTCCTGCATGCCTGCTACTCTGCAGCTGCGGCCTGCAGCTACGGCCTTCGGGACAACCATCGGTGATAGTGCAAGTACTGCTATTGCTTTGAGCTTATACCAAACGTATGTTAATGGAAAAAAAGCCCAAATCACTCTCTCGAAGTTTTTTTTTCTCGAATTCGCAAAAGATTTACGCATCATTATCATTAAGAAGAAGAGTTTGACCGTACAAACGACACGCTTAGTTATTACTAGACATACCTAGCAGACTGTTACAAACTTCGATATTACATAAATGGTAAACAACCGAATTGAAAGCACCGCAGGAACCTAAGGAGTTGGGTGGCCCCGCTACTGGTTGCACGATCCTCCTCCGCCAACGAGAAGAGCGCTCTTCTACCCGCCCTGCTGTTGGTCGCTGGGAACAGCTCGTCTAGGGCTGCCACGTGGCTCGGCATCAAGTTCCCTACGAATATGACGTTGTATGCTCCCTTGGACGCAGACGACACTGGAGCTGCCGGCAGCGCAATGCCCATCCTTTGCATGAGGAGTATCTCGCCCCGCTTGGAAGTCGGTATGTGTGCCAACGGCTGCGCGGCAATCCATCTGCTCCTGATTGGCAGGGGCCTTCTGGTTGCCACCTTCTGCCGCGGTGGAGTGACGATTAAGGGCGACCTTCGCTTGACCTACACCTCTTCGGTAAACCGTGCGAGACGCCGAGTGGCCTCGCACGACGTGGGCGTCGCGTCACTGGGGTCAGGCGTGGCTCCGTCCTTCGTCAGCGTAGAAGGGTCGGGTGTGGCTTGGCCGACCGAATGGCCATCCTGCGTCGGCATAGAACCCGCCATGTGCTTGGCTGGCTTGAACCCAGGTGGCCAGGCCTCACCATCCTCCCCACCCACGACAACGGGTTGTCCCATCAATGAAGGTGTGTCCTGCACAAGCGACAATGGAGGCGGGTCCGTCGCACACTGAGTAGCCATCACTAGAGAACTGGCGTCCACCAACGAATCTTGAACCTCCTATGGGACGGATGCCACAGCATGCAGACACCCAGTCGCTGGAGTGATCGCTGGCCGGCTCACGACGAGCGAGGCGGCAAGCTCCTCCAGCATCGGGTCGACCGAGACAAGCCAAGTGGGAGGGCCTGCACCCACACACAACGTCTCAGCCACCGAATCTGGCTCGAGGAAGCGGCGTGTGGCAGTCGAAGGAGAGCCGTCGTTGTTGATGGCAGGCGCGCCCATACGGATGTCCGTCGCTAGCTCGCCCCTGCGCCGCCGACGTCGTCGCCGGCGTCGACGGTTGCCATCGGCACCCCCCACGCCTCCCTGTGCGGTCCCATCCGAGGTCGCTGGGCTGCCGAGGGGTGCGTGCTAGGTGGCCATTGGGTTGTCAGCACGAGCTGAGTGGCGAGGCAGGCCATGACCCTTTAGCGCCAACTTGGACCGCTTGCAGTCCCTCGTGAGGTGGTGGAATTCGCGGCAGCGCAGGCAACGGTGTGGCAACCAGCAAGTCGCTACTCGGTGCGAGTAGGAGAGGCAGTTAAGACATCTGTCGCGGAGCTGTGCAGGGATCTTCTGAGCCTGTGCGCGTGGACCTAGGCCACAGCGGGGCTCAACTGAGGCAGCCACAGGTGCCGCCTCCTGTCGGGGTAGGATCTCCGCCACCCATCGGCGTTGGGGGCAGAGACCCGTCTGTGGGTGCCGAGGCGTTGGCGGGTAGGGACCCAACCATCCACTGGACGAGGAGGCAAGCTGTGCACTAGCTGGGGGCGCTGCCGGCTGTGCTTCCTCCACCTTCGCACGGGTCCCTGTCTAGCGTCCGGTCCGCCGCGCCCCAGAACCACGGCCGAATGGGTCTGGGCGCGCACAGGGGACGCAGTGGGCGGCTTCGCTGGGCGACGAGCGGCCTCCATGTAGGTCGCGGGGTGGTCATCGTCGGTCTCCTCGCCGTCGTCGTCAGCCCACTGCCGGCTCTTGGAGCGCCCCGCTGTGCTGCTAACCGGATCGAAGGGGGGTGGCGAAGGGTGAGAGGGAGGACGACGACGCTGCAGCAGAGCCACGAAGTTTGGTATATATCCAGATAATATAACCGCCCAAAGTAACGTTTGATTCAATTTATTACTCCTAACTATTTCAGTTGTTGGCCAGAATCCAGATTTACCTCCTCACAAGATTTGTGTGTGTGTGTGTTTTGGTTCTCCATGCACGATTGTGTTTTTATTTTAAACCCCGGGAGATGATAGAGAACATCAAGTTTTGTGTTAGAAAATACATTATTAGTTTTTCATCATTATGTTTTGTACAGTTTTTTTATCTATAGTGTTAATTTATTATTAAAATAAATTCCTAAACTATCAAAGTAATGATGAAAAAAATTAAGATGTATTTTCTTAATTTATTATTAAATTCTATTACCTTGATATTTTCAGATAATGTTGGATTCTTAGTAACTAGGGAGGTGGCACTTGAAGAGGAGTTCAAATTCAAATGTTCCAAATCCTGGTGACTTATATATTTTCTTCTACTAGATTACTAGTTCACTACATATATAAAGGTAAAGACTCCAATTAAGGCAAGGCAATCGTTGGGCGGATAGAATGGCTGTCCGCTTCGTCTAGGCCCATGTACGCCAGCCCAGAGGTAACATAACATGGATGTTGTGTTATTGGCTGGGCAGGATCGGAGAGGCCCATTAAATTGCATCATCATCGAGTAGTGTTGTTCCTTGTTCATTTTGGTTTGGTTCATACATTAGACGACCGATATATATCGAGATTATAAAGTTTGGTGTCTCATATATTCTATCTATAACATGCAAATTGATTAATCTTTACCTGTCGTCCACTATTGGTTAACCCCGCCGCACCATGTCTACCAAGACACTAGTGCTAAAGCTTTTATGATCACACACTACGTACATTATGTCAAAAAATGGTTAGAAGTTGGATGAAAAAATATGGCGGGACCTTTTACAGCTTCGATAGTTTCATGTAATTGGGTGGCGGGAGATTCGTCAACATTTAGTTTAACTCAGAATCCAAAAACTCCAACACAAAAGCTTTGGAACAATAAGTTTTAGCTCAATACTCAATCTAAACCAGATCACTCGTACCTTTAACCACTATCGTGGATCGGGGTCTCTATGTACGACACGACCTCCTCTTCAAGCTCCGCGCGAACCCTTCACTAATTGACTGAAAGATGACGGTAGGGTAGGGTACTGTTGATTTTGCCCCTAAGGGCATTTACCCCCCCCCCCTCCCCCATGCACATAACGGCATCACTGCCAGCGTGGCCTGTAGGAGAGGGGAACTACAAACTTGACCATAGTTTATGAAGGATTATTTGAAATCTTAACGCGCACACACTTGACCGCCTACGATAGCCATGGTTGCTCCTGACAAACCTATTAGGCTTCTTGATTCTTGAACTCCTTTTGATCTGTTGGGCGGAGGCTTAGCTAAGGAGCGGCTTCTATTATGCTTCTAGAGAAGCTTTCTAGAGCCGGAAGAGGCACCGCGAAGAGTGTTCCTCGCTCAAGTGGTATGCAGTGTCACAGTCGTACGAACACATGTAGCAGATGGAGTCTAAAATCTTGTCTAAGAGTTGGCATCTTTGATAGCCCTCAAGCAAAGTCAAGCTAGACGCGTAGCACTTAGAGGCTCTAGTGAACCTGAGTATAGGGCCGCCCCACGGTGCACTACACAAAAACACACACTAGTAACACGGAAGCTCACGGTAAGTAAAGAAAAGATCTGATTAGGCGTGTATAGCTGGAAGTAGGAATGACAATGGGCACATTTGTCTTGGGTAGAGTACTATTGATTTTGCTCTAAGGGCATATGCCCCCATGTCTCCTCATAGGGTATTCTTTGGCCTCAGTCTCACCATTTTTTCGCTATTGCTGTTGGTGGCCACCACGCCACTGGCACTGTACGTGCCCTGTGTGTTGTGCATGTGCGTCAGTGGGTGGTGGTGGTGGATTAGTATAGTGCGAGAGCGATGGTCATACCGCATTTCCGTTGCGATGCGCTAGGGCCTGCTGGACGCGTGGGGCTTGGCTTGTCACTTTTGAATACAGATTTGCGGTGAGAGAAAGGGGAGCAGTGCGGTGGCATCTATAGAGCGATTCGGTTGCTACAAGGTGGGGGCTCTGGTCTGCAGTTGCATCTTTACTGTTTGTTTGTTATTAATAAAAAGTGGATGAAACTTTATTATTATTATGTTATTTTAAAAGAAAAAGATGTGTTGGGCAGCCAGCTTGACGCACGCACTGCACTCGTGTCGTCCGGCTTGTTCTCAAGTAACTTATTATCTATCCCCCTCTCCCCTCCTAAAAAAAAACTTTTGAAGAGTGGAAAACTATAGAAAATGATTTTTATGTAGAGCAGTTTCATTCAAACAACGCGTTTTCGGTAAACGTCGTAGGTGGTCTACAGGATTACAGCTTTTGGCTAGACCATCCTAGCCTACCGGTTCACAGATCGATATTACATAAATAATAGACAACCAAGATAAGGACATCGTGATTTTTATGAAAGTGATATCTAAACGATGATTTAGAAAGTGAGAGAAAGTGAGGTTTAGAAGACTCACGGAGATGCTATCAGTGTAGTTCATGCCGGTTGATTTTTCCTGAAAAGAAACGGTACAGTGTAACAAGCAGCGACTCTCGTCTATCTAGCTACATGGTCACCGTGTAGATGGACCTTGGATCAAAATCATACACAGTATCTCGTGTCCATGCATCGTATCGTATATGGTATATCAACATCCAGCCACGCATCTTGTTGCCTCTGCCGATGGAGTGCCGAGAGCGCACTTTTGCCTGCCCCACACGGCAGCCAATACGAACAAGTGCACCAAGCAAACACTGGAGCTATCAATGCTCACACACAGCTGCCCGGTTCATCCGGCCATCCGTCCGGTCTACGTGTACGATGTCGTCGTGGCGACGCGCGCGGCCTCGAGGTCGGCGGCGTCGGAGGGGGCGGTGGAGAGCGCCTGCTGCAGCTTCTTGCTGCGGCCGGCACTGCGCAGGCGGAGCAGCATCTTCTCCCCGACGAGGGGCTTGCTGCGCCGGCGCTCCGTGATGGCGATGGAGATGTCGTTGGGGAAGAGGTCACGGTGCACCACCGCGTGCAGCACCGTGGTGAGGAAGAGCGCCGCCACGGCCAGCGTCGCCGCCGCGGACAGGCCGATGCACATGCACTGCGTGAACGCGTTCTTCTTCACCTCCGACGAGTAGCGGATGGACGCGATGGCCGCGCTGGTCATCGGGAACGTGTAGGCCCACCACGCCAGCGAGAAGCTGAACCCTCGGAACAGGTTGATGCGCACGGCCAGCGACGCGTACAGGAACATGGCGATGAAGTAGGCGACGCGGGAGCCGTAGCCGAACTCGCCGGTGATCCGCGACCACGCCAGGCACGCCACGCTGGGCGCCGCCACGAACAGGAAGAACACCGGGTGCAGGTCCCGGGGCAGCGTCTCGCTCGTCGGCAGCCGCTGGTACAGCGTCACGAACAGCACGATGTAGTGCGCCAGCCCCACGGAGAAGAAGAACATGGGCCCCTCCTTGAGCCCCATGATGCCGCCCAGCAGCGCGCCGACGAAGTTGCCGACGATGGAGAGGTGGTTGGACGGGTTCGCCACGCGGGACAGCCGCCGCTGCCCGCCGGAGATCCACTGCCCGTAGATCTTGAGCTCCAGGCACACGATGGGCGCCATGAGCACGTACCAGAGCCAGTGCGGGAGCGTCGACGCCACCAGGTCCGGCACGCCTATCGCCAGGAACAGGCACGCGATCCACGGCGCGAAGAAGAAGTTGACGCGGATCGGGTGGTAGTACTCCCGCCGCACCGCCTCGAAGTAGAAGACGAGCTTGCAGGCGTAGAGCGCGGACACGGCGAGCATGAGCGCGACGGAGACGCACCACAGCACCAGGTTGATCTTGACGGTGATGTGCAGGAACCGCGTGGACGCCGAGATGGCGATCCGCTTCCACAGGATGGCCTGGCTGCTCATGCCCAGGCACATGCCGAACGCCGACACCGGGAACCGGAGCAGGAACGGCCACGTCTTGTCGGACGGCAGGATCAGCTCCTCCGAGGACTGCCACCAGTACCACAAAACAGCACCACGGTCAGCTTCTTCATCGGCATCATCAGCTACAGCTAAACGGGGGAAGGCGGCGAGGCTACACGCACGCCACGTGGCGTTCGCATGAGCAACGCTCATGGACTCGTTAGTACTAGTAGTAGTATGATCAGAGCCACTACGGATGGATGATGATGTCATCGGCAGTAGTACCCGCAGCTTGTCGAGCTCGGGGCCTTCCAGCGCGGCGAAGAAGCGCTGCACTCTGGGCACGGAGCTGGAGTTGCGGCGGTCGCTCGCCGCGTCGTCTTCCTCCGGCTCCTCCCCCTGCTGCGGCTGTTGCTGCGCCGGCGGCAGCCTGCTGCTGCCGAGCAGGTGCGTGGTGATCTGCTTCTCCAGCTTGCCCGACCACGTCTTGAACGAGTCGTAGCTGGTGTCCCTGCTGTCCCTGCGCGCCTTAGCCGGCGGCGCCGTCGCCGCCGCGTACGGCGCCGACGCGCTCCGGGCGAAGTCGTCGTGGCCCCGGTTGGCGCCGTCGCCCTCCGCTGGCGCAGCGGGGATCGGCTGGGACCGGAACACCATCTTGCTAGGCTGCGCGAGCGCCATGACCGCCGACGCCGCCGGGGCGCGCGGCGGCAGCATCATCATCCGCGGCGGCGCGTCCGTGACGGCGGCGTCCCGCTCCCGCTGCAGCTCCTCCTCCATCCTGCTGGAGATGTCGAACCCGCCGGTCGGCGACGCCGGCATGCTGATCGAAACCGGGCGCCCCACGAGTGGCGCGGACGACGGCAGGAACGGCGAGTACCCCGGGGACGCGGCCATGTCATCACCACCGTGTCGCCGCTCTCGTTCCTACGAACACCAGCACGCAGACTGTTCATACTCGTGGCTCCGCCGTCTCCAAGACTCGAAACGAAGGTTGATGGCGAGTGACACGAGGACTCACCCTGAACGCCGCCGGCTCCTCGGGGGAGAAGACGCTCGATGGGACGCGAACGCCGACGGCGTCCGGGTGCACAAGCGCGGGACGTGGCGGCACCGCGAACTCGTCCGTCTCCATGAACCTCGAGAAACCTGCGACGCAGATGCATACAGTGACACCGTCAGGGGATTCAAAACACATTGCCGATCACATGTCTGCTAGCTCGTTCATCGAAGGATCTCTGGTCTCTCAGATGGGTAGAGTGATGTTCTTACCATCGCACGTAGAGCACCGCGCCATTGTAGTCCAGTGCAAGCTATTTGTGTTGTGGTCTTGTGAAAGCACGCACACGTATATATAGGTGTTCTAGCCAAGCAGGGTGCAGTGCAGAGACAGAGAGCTAGACGCACGGTGGCAGCAGAATGAATGCAGACGCATCAGGAACCGTCCATATGTGTGGCGAGGGTGCAGCCGTGCAAGACTGCAGGGTCCTCCCCGGCAAATCTCGAGACTTGTGGCTCGCAGCATCCGTTCTGCAAGTATGGCGGTGTTTGGCACAGATGACATGGAGCCTTTCCTGGGCTGCAGGCAACCTGAGGAGAGGATGGCCTCTAGTTCTGCTAGAGCTGCTTGCTGGGGGAGAAGAACAGTCAGGCCGAGACACTGCAGTGCCAGTGAGTGTGTGCAATGCAATGAACCGCAAATGGGGCGATGATGGGCTAGTTGATAGGACGACCGTCATATCAGGAACTTATTGCTTGCCTTATCGTTCTCCCAAGTTCTGAAAACTTGTAGTCGGTTTTCATTCAACCTTCCAATCAGTCTTCTTCACAAATCAAATTGCATCCGGATTCTAGTTCTTTTTTTAATGAAATGAATGGTGGTTCCTGCATCTGGGTCCATACTACTCCTACTCCAAAGTGAGATGACAAGTTGAGTGCCAGTCGCTAGGATTTGGTTTTATCAATGGGCAAACAATGGTGTTTCAGGCTTTCAGAGTTGTGTTGTGGCATAGCAATGCCTTTCTGCCAGGACCAGGGGCCAAGCTACATAGTAGTGACTAGGAGGTGCAAATGCACCGTCATAAAAAATGTAAAACGATGGTTATGGTTTAAAAATCTCATCATATACACACTCTCTATGACAGAAGCAGATGATACTCCCACAAGGCGAACACACCCCTCTCAAAGTAGCTCTATCTTCGCCGCCACCGGCAAGGACCACAAGCAGCCAAGAGCCCAAGAGAAAACAAAACAGCTGAACCAACTGAAAAGTGTGTTGCGTTCAGCATCTCCCCAAGCCCCTAATATTTCCTCAACTGAAATGTGAGAGCAAGCAAGTCCCTGCACCAGCTTTCTGAACTGAAAGGGAACGGCCGGCAATCGGCATGCACAGTCTGCACACGGCGACGTGTTAGGGTTCTGGCTGGCTGGCTGAACCACGGCACTTGGCGTGGCTGCTGCCAGCGCCAGGGAAATTCAGGTGGCAAAGCCGAACGGCCGAGCTCCTGAACCTGAGAACCTGTCAGGCTTCTTTCGGCATGCGATCCCGGCCGCGGTGGGGTTTCGTCTCGACCGACGCAATGAAGGCCAGGGCGCGACCAGGGGACGTCAGAGACGAGCGCGTCGCTGCGCTGCCCCCGATCCGGTGCGGTGCGGAGGAAGATGAGAGGGGGCAAGGCGATGGGCGGGCGGGCGGATCGTACCTGAAACATGCGTGCATCGGTGCGTTCAGAAGGGGCGAACGGCAGGGCGGCGATCGATGGCGGTGGCCGCCGGCGACCCCACGAGCGGCGAGGGCGTTCACGCCGGTAGGGAGGGACGGATAGGGCTGGGAATGGTCGGCGGCGGAGATCGTGGATTTGAGCGGTACGGTGGCGCGCGCGGGCGGTGAGACTCTGGGCGACCAAGGTGGCGGGACGAGGTCCTGTGTCGCTGCGGGTGGGGTCCGACTTGGCGAGCTAGATGGCCGGTGCACGTGTCGTCGTGGCCCAAGGGGCGGACGGGCGATCAATTTTGGTGTCCGCAACCGTTACGCAGAAGTACAGAAGTACGGGTCCATGACATGTTGGGACCACAGTGTGGAATACTGGAAACACATATTCGTATTGTTTTTTTTTTGGTAATTTCAAAAGGATATATTTTCTTTCACTTCTATACTAGAAAGACCGCGCCAGCCCTTGATCAATCCGTTGTGGCTCAGGTCGCTGTTTTCGTTTGGATCTTGCTAGTTTTAATGTGCTAACTATCACATCTAATAGCAAGATTTGAATTGCTAAGAGATGGTAATAGATTCTAAGGTGAAAAGATGGTCTATTAGCATATGTTGTTTGGATCCATGTTTGCTAATTTTAGCTTGCTAGCTGCTATCATCAAGATCCAAACGTGCCCTACCCTGATAGTACTGTAGGAATATGGTGATGATCACTACAATGATTCTTGATTTGTAGTAGAATATGATTGTGGACTTTTACCTGACCTCCAAACTGCTGTGCATTGGCACGATGTATTGAAAAAAGTCTAAAAGAGTACATTTAGCAAATTCATTGACCCTGTTTGTGTTCGTGTCGACTTTTGTACAAAAAAGAGAACCTTTTGTTTGTTAAAAATATCTCTAATATCACCTTTTGAATTCCTTTGTGCAAAAGAACCGTTCAATGGGCCAAACATTCTTAAGAACTAACCATCCTCAGAAACAAACATTCCAGTGATAAACCCAATACAAAACTATACAAGCGGGAGGAAATTGTACCAAGGCCTTGGAGCACAAAAATAGAAAAACATATAACAATAATAGCAACACAGTAACATGATTGTACTTGACTACCTTTTCATTTCCTTTTGATACAGTTGGTTGTAATAGAAAATCAATGATATGTCCATTTAAGGGTCTTAGGCGATAAACCAAAATCAAAATGATAAAAATCTCCTAAGCCACTGAATACAATGATTTGGTGTTGTTTGGACAATTAACTTGCCTGTTCGCCATATGCATTCACATTCTTTTGCTCAATGAATAGATAGGTATCATTGAATTGATTATCACATAAAGCAGATGAAGAATAAACTGAGGGTAGTGATTTATCTTCTGCAAACTGGAATGGTAAGAGATCATCCAGAATACCATAATCTGAATAAGACGAATCAAACCCTTGCTGCAAAGCAACATCAGAAGAGCAAACAACATCTGAAGAAGGAGGAATCCAAGATAACCCATCTGCATTCTTGTTATGCGGCGGCTACAGTACCCGCGAAACTACAGTAAATCGGGTACTGTTTGCGCCCGCAATTGTGGCGGCTGAGGAGTAAGAGTGAAGAGATTCCCTTCTTAATTCTTGCTTGATTAGATCGATACATCTCCTCTTCTTATATAGAGAGATTTACTTGACTCCCAAGCAAGACTTACTTGACCCTTAAGTAAACGACCCTTATCTCTAATTAACCCTAACACTAATGGGCTATACAGCCAACCCAGGCTCAATAGGCCCCTGACATACTCTAACACTACACCTCACCTGGACATGCAGCTCGTCCTCGAGCTTTGCAACCCTATCGACTCGTGAGGATCATTTTACATCTTGGCTTATTTTATTATTCTCAACCTGGATGGATTCTTTATTTTTTTGACTCTAAACATAAGGTGGACACCATCCGCACGCGCAAACCTGTGTGTATCTATCCCATGGACACCATCTAGACGAAAGGGGTGCATGTGTATTCCAGAAGTGGTCGCAGAGCGGAGGCGCCATGGCGCGCGCGATGATTTCGCGACGACGCTAGCTGACGCTCTCAGGATACCCCACGCTTCTCCTCGCCAGATGTTTGTTGTGGTTACACCGCACAAAGAAGAGCGGAGGGCTTCGATGGAGAACGAGGTGGAGAGATGCGCCTCAACCGCCGCCCGTAGGGAAATAGCATCTCCGCCGCCTGTGGGGAAACCACATGTCCGAGATCCTCGACGCAGACGAGATCGAGGTCCTCCGTAGCGGCGGCGCAACGTGGAGGAGCTACGAAGGGTGCAGGGCAATCACCGCAGATCGCGATCTCCCGCGACCCGCCGACGTGCTAGGAGGCATAGCATGCAACAGCATCGCAGCCATGGCGGGTAAGCATCTTCCCCGCGAAGGATCCGGCGATGGCTCATGGAACTCGCATCGGAACTCCAACTTGTAGAACTTGGGGCGGCGGGTCATGTCATGCATGATGCAATGATCAGTCAATTAGGAACTTGATCTGGCCGGATGGGAACGCATGACGGCGGCGGCGCTGTGGGAACGAGAGTCGCGCAGTCCCGTCGTGGGCATCCCATATCGGCACGAGATGACCGACGCTGGTCGCGCCGAGGGAGGCGGCGAGGGTAGCTGCTGTTGGTGGCGGCGGAGGAGGAGGCGGGCACTGGCCGCGGTCAGGCGCATAGGGCCCAACGAGGAAGGCCCCGATGCCCGCCATGGCTCGCCTAATTCCAGATTGCGCCGTCATCGCTCCGGTGAGGACGAGGGGACGGACGGCGCTGGCGTAGGGGCGATCGCCCCGAGGACGCCAACAAGACCAATGCAATGCCAAGGCTTTCTTTGTAAAGCCCGACGAAGACGCTTAAAAACTGGCAATGACGGTGGGAAGAACTTCGATAGATGGTGGACATGATCGAACAGAGATCTCTGATAATATTGTTACGTGGCGGCTACAGTACCCGCGAAGCTACAGTAAATCAGGTACTGTTCACGCCAAGAATTGTGGCGTTGTGAGGTAGGGAGGTTGGAGGCCACTGCTTGCCACGGCCGAGCAAGAGGGAAGGATTTCCTTCTTAATTCTTGTATTAGATCGATACATCTCCTCTCCTTATATAGAGAGGTTTACTTGACTCCCAAGCAAGACTTACTTGACCCTTAAGTGGCATCTCTAATTAACCCTAACATTAATGGGCTATACATTGTTCAATAGGCCCTTGACATACTCTAACACTACACCCCACTCATGCAGCTGGTCCTCGAGCTACAACCTAACGAACTTATAACGGCTGACTCGGCACCTAAAAAACAAGCATTTTATATCTTGGCTTATTTTATTATTCTCAACCTTGAAATGGATGGGACTTTTATTTTGGACTCTAAACATAAGGTGGACACCATCCACGCCAAACCTCGCAGTGTCATCCCATGGACACCATCTAGACGAAAAGGGTGCATGTTATGACACAATTGAGTGAAGATATATTGTTGCTGTTTTCACTGGAACGCGCTCTCGCCGGTGACCCCACGCCTTCTCCTCTCAGCACAACTGATAGCGGAGGGCTTTCGATGGAGAACGAGGTGGAGAGATCGCCTCCCAACCGCCGCCCGCAGCCAAAAATATCTCCGCCGCCGTGGGGAAACCGCATGCCCGAGATCCCGACACAATGACGAGATCGAGGTCCTCCGCGTCGTGGCGCATGCCCATTTCAAGGGTGCGATCAATCACCGCAATCACGCATCCCGCGCGAGCATTAGGCCGACGCGTATGGAAGCATCGACGCTGGTAAGCATCTTCCCCGCGAGATCAATTGTCATCGGCTGCATCGGGACTCCAACTTGTAAAAAACTTGGGCGGCGGGTGGGTCTGTCTGAGCCGCCGCCATCTAATGAGGGCGACGCGGCGGAGAGCGTGACATCGCCGCGCTGCCAGGGGGGGGAACTTGATCTGCTGGGAACGCCGTTGGTGGCGCGGGCCGAGGAACGAGGTCGTCGTAGTCCCGTCGTGGGCATCCCATACCGTACGAGATGACCGCGCCGTGGTTGCGCGAGGAGGGAGGCGGCGGTAGGGTAGCTGCATTGGTGTGGCGGCGGAGGAGGTGGCGGGTGGCGCTGCTGGCTGCGCGGGGCGATAGGGCCGCGAGGAAGGCCCCGATGCCCGCCATGGCTGCGATTGCGGCCGCCATCTCGCTCGGTGAGGACGGCGGCGGACGGCGCCGGGCAGAGGGGCGCAATCGCCGAGGACCCAAGACGCCCAATGCCGGCCGCGCTAGTGGGGCACGCCGACGAAGACGCTGGTGGCGGCGGGTGGGAAGAACTCGGTAGATGGCTGGACATGATCGAACCAGAGATCTCTGATAACAGATTGTTATGGGGCGGCTACAGTACCCGCGAAGCTACAGTAAATCGGGTACTGTTGCGCCCGCAGTTGTGGCGGCTGAGGCTGCGAGGGAGGCTGGAGGCCGGCCGGGGGCGTTGCCCACGGCCGAGCAAGAGGGAAGGGATTTCCTTCTTAATTCTTGCTTGATTAGATCGATACATCTCATCTCCTTATATAGAGAGGTTCACTTGACTCCCAAGCAAGGCTTACTTGACCCTTAAGTAAGCGACATTTATCTCTAATTAACCCTAACACTAATGGGCTATACAGCCAACCCAGGCCCAATAGGCCCCTGACGTACTCTAACACTTCTCCAGCTGCTGGACCATATGACGAACTATTCTCACTTCAAACTCACAGGAGTTCCTGTTATCTGTGGTTTCAACAATTGTATTTTCTTCTCTCAAAGGAAAGGCACCGTTTATATTCTAGGATACTGTCCCATTCTCACATTTGATGTTCTCTGAATCATATTTCTGTGAATCTAGGTAATTTGTTCCAGAAAGAGAACCTTGGATTTTCTTACCACTAGTGACACCAGGATACTCAGCTTCACTTTCATGTTTGTTGTATTACTGTGGGCAAACTCACGAGTGAATTTACCTTCAAACTGTAAATATACCAAAACAAGCTTATGAGTTTTAGAGAAAAGTATAGTTGACTCTATAAGCAATTATGCATCCAATGAGTTTAAGTCAATTAAATTGCATACAGCCATGGAAAGACTTGCTCCTATATATAAAGGGCATGATGAATGGGCCATCAGCTTGGAAAGAGGTGAGGCTTGGATCCCTGCAGGTGACATACAATGGCTTAATGTAAAAAACTGTTTATACTTAGATTATATTTTCATATTGTACTTGCAGCAAGTTGCCTTTGTCAATAGAGATAAATTTATCACTGCTGATCCCAAGTATCTTGTAGAGCTAATGCTTTTAAATATGCAGCATTTTTTTGGTAGTTTAATTTATAATTGTTTAAGCCATCTTGGTTGGACCTTCATGTTCTTCCTCTCCAGTTTACATTTCATCTTACTTTGGATAGTGCTTTGTTGATACGTAGTTCACAGGTCCTGTTTTGAACAATTGAACTGAAGATATATTGTTGCTGTTTTCACTGGAACGTGAATCAGCACAACTGATAGTGATGGGGACAGTACAAAATCAGCCACCAAATATTGAAAGAAAAATTGCATACCTTATGCCCATTTCATCGAACAAATCCAGGGCATTATCCATGGAAGCATCGACGCTGGTAACAAGATCAATGGTGGCTACATGCCGCTGCCGTCTGTTGAGCCGCCGCCATTACTGCACGCCGCGCCGCCACCACCGCTGCCCGTTGCACCGTCCGTTGCGTCGCCGCCGCGGCTGGCTGCTCGTTGCGCCGCCGCGGAGCTGCGCGCTGTGCGGCTCGGCTTCCTGCCTCGCCGTTGCAGTGGCACGGGCGAGCGAGTGGGTGTGCGCCTTCAGGCTGCCGCTGCCGTCGTCGTGTCGTAGGCTGGAGCGCCGGCGTGCGGCTTCGAGCCGCTGCCGTCGCTGCTGCTATCACGGTCTCGCGCTTGTGCCGCTGCTGCATGCCGCCGCCTTTGCAGTGGCCTTCGTGCCGTGGGGCGCGGCCGCGCCGAGCCGTGCGCACGTGCCTGGGCCCGTCCAGGAGAAGTCGCGGACGGGAGCAGCTGCCGGCGGCGTGCGGGCAGCGGGCGAGGGCGAGGCCTTGAGGTGAGCGGGCGGGTGGACTAGTACGCGCCCGATCAAGATCCAACGGCCTAGGAATTTTCGCTGACGTGGCCGAATCAGGTGCGAGAGGGCCTGGTGCGGATTTCGTCTTGTTAAAGATTTCAGATGTTTGATTTTTGTTGATGTTGTTCGGATTCGGATAGTAGGTAATTTTGCTATTGCTTAACTATATTATTAGGAAAAAATATAAATTATCTCTTATAACTCGTCCTTTTCAATTGTACTACTAGTTAGTCGTATAAGATTGTTATGTGAAGTCATCTAGAAATTCAGGTATAGTAACCCTACCTCCCTCTCTCTCTCTCTTGCTTTGAATGCTATGATATACTAGCTCAGATGCTTTGGGCTCCACAAGAAGCATGGAACAGGTCGATCTCATTGTTCATGGCGTTTTAGTCAAGGCAAGTAGGACGAAGGTATTTGTGGAGAGTGCGAGTGCGAGCTCGAGCCGGCGGGCACAAGCATGGCCGCGTGGGCGAGCAGGCGTGCCGGCTCAGGCGGTGCGCGTGCAACCAAGTGAGAGTCGTGTAGGAGAAGAGAACGCAAAGAACGGAAGAAGAGACGGTGACATGATATTTATTGTCTCTATAATGTTGATTCACTATGAGGCCATGTTTAGTTCATCTCAAAATCCAAACTTTGGCCCTATGCAAAAAGAAGATTCTCTGTCACATCAAACTTGCGGTACATGCATGGAGTACTAAATGTTGACGAAATCAAAAACTAATTGCACAGTTTGGTTGTACTTTGCGAGACGAATGTTTTGAGCCTAATTAGTCAACGATTGAACAATTATTACCAAATACAAACGAAATGCTACAGTGCGCTACAGTATCTACCGTGTTTTCGGCGGCGCCGATTCCCGAGCAACTAAACATGGCCTGAGTCTGCAAATTCTACTC